CACTTCAATACGTGTTTTTGGTCCGTACCTATAAGGTTACGTAGTTTTATTTAAAATGTTAAATACTAGTGATACTAAATTAGTGCTTTTACCTGGGACTAGAAGTAATATTTGGATAAGTTTTAGATTTCAAATAAATGAAAATAATAATTCAATATTTGAAAAAAATTAATTTTCTTGTTGTTCATGTAAATTTTTCGAGGCGTATAGTGGTAATACGTTAAATCTAAATTCACATTTTCAACAGTGTTTAAGAGTGGAACAGAATACAAATCAATCAATATAAACATATTTTAAAAAACCAAAAGCAAAATTAAAAATCTCATATCCATATTGAAAATTTTACGATATCGGAAAAATGAAAGAGATATTGATACTTGAAATTACATCGTTGGCTATAACTATTGCATGGTATATTTTGATTAACACGACGTGCTCGCCGCAAGATGAACTAGTCAAGATTATTGCTATTATACGCTATGTCAGTTTTTTTTATGAACATCACCAAATGAAGTCAACGCGCGGGCACATGTAAAGATACTATAACACCGCCGACGTCGTATGGTATCGAATTATGTGTTCACGGTAATAATAATCTCACATAATGTTATATTATTATTATATCAATCGTTTAGCGTGGACCTCGTAGGCGAATGACAAAACGAGAGGTGCGGGCGACCTGAATGCATATGATGAGTTATGTATGATATAAGTACACAACTCTTTTTCACGTTGTTTCGACCTTGTGCTATCTTCACAAAAAAAAATCATCTTATTAATAATGAATATATTATCATTGAAATTCAAATAATTTTAGTTTTATACTAACGATTATATAACTGCTTGTACAATTGTGTAACCAAAACACTGATAAGAAAAAAGATCCAGATCTAGTTAAGTTTTTATGCAGAATATTTGTTTATAAGCGTAGCTATAAAAAATATGTTAATAATGAACTTTTTCTCAATTTTTCAACTATAATCCATCGAAATATGCCACAGTTGAACGAAAATAAAATAACTACAAATATTTTTTAACAATTTAGTTATGATTTAGATTCGTGTACTATGTATCCTAAATTGAATTTTAAATCGATTTCGCTTGTTATAATATAAATCACAGATTTTTTTTATATATAGAAAGAAGTTTGTGTTAATGTGGATACGTATATTTTTTTTATATATAAGATCTTTTTTTGTTTGTAATAAAAATAATAAATCTCTTCAATAAATGATATTATACGTATCATATTCAAATATACAATTATTTTAGATTTAAAAAGAATATGCCAGATGGTGGGTGCTGTTAATAGGTTTAATCGTATATGACCATTTATGGCAAAAATAAAGATTTTTCCTGACAATGGTGGTTATTGGAAAGGAAGAGGAGAGTAAAGCATCATCTCCTGTCTCTCTTATATTACGAATATTATTTTCTTTATTTAGAATTTATTTTGATTATTCCTCATTTCTTATAGTAAAAATTACTTAATTACTATATATTGTATATTAAACTCCTCTTTGCCTAATCTAACCTATTTATAATTTTTTATTTATCTTATTGATCATGATATAATACTCACGATTAATTTTCAAATTTTAGTATCTTACAATAAAGAGAACAATTAAATATGTTGACTAGCAACGTTATTTACCATCTTTAATATTTTATTTTCAATCTACTACTATTTATATACAACAATTTTACAATATGGATTTAATTCCTATGTTAATTTTATGTGAGCAAAAGTTCCTTTTTTGTTTTTAATAAAATATTTTTAATAAGGTTGTTGACCACCGTAGGTATTTGCGTTGCTTTTATGATACGTGAACTTACAAAATTATACACTGCTATCAAAAATGAAGAACGCGCTAATACACTTACGAAAATGTTAGAAATGGATCCTGATTGCGAAGATGTCGACAAGAACTTTATAATTGGAGAGCAACGTAAAATAATCGATCGATTAAAAACTACTAATTCACATAACAAAATAATGGCAGAGCATTATAGAAAACTATATGTATGGCAAAAAAATTTTAAATAAAAAACACCATACTAAACATTAAGGTATTAGCGATTTATTGTTTGATAAAATATTATATTTATCTCTATATTAGTATAGTAATAAAATCATTATATAATATTAATCATATTGCAGTCATGCGTAGGTTAGGTTTGGTATAAATTTTGTAATAGTCGCTTACAAAAATATGAAATATAGTCTGAATCAAATGACAAAATTCATATTAAATCGAATAAACATCATTGGTTTTACTATATTATTAAAGCAAGAACAAACAATTTTTTACATAGTTTACTTTTTTTTTTTATGGCAATACTTAATTGTTTGTCAATATTATGTTGGTCAACACAGCAAATCACTAATAACTGGCATAAGTAATGCACTATTATTATACAAAGAAGCGATATGCAAACGTTTTGTATAGATTTTTCGGAAAACTTACAATATATAGATTGTTCTATATTCAGGATTCATATTATTTATGCATTTGACGTATGAAAGAGCAATGCACTAACTACTGTACTGAATTGAATAATTTTGACATAAAATATAAAAGTATTTGAAATATAATATAATATATATACAATGTACAGGTATAATTAATAACATATACAGAAAATTAGGTATAATATACGTTTACTATGTTTACAGAATTAGTAAAATCAAGTAGCTTAGGCGTATAAATTAAAAATAAATTCATTAAAATCTTCATTCATTCTACTGCTCAAGGAATACAAACTGCAAAGTTAGATCGTTCTACATAGTGTACTTAGGGCAACGCCATAGACAACTAAACATCTAACATCAACGGCTACTGTATTTTTTGCTTTTGTATTACAAGTAACACTGAATTTATATTTAATTAAAAAAGCTCACCGTTAGCACAACATCGACCGTGGCAAATACGTAAGTTAAGTTGCCTGTGCTAAACGCCGAACACAAGCGTCCTCCGTAAACTATGCATAATATTATTATCACAGATAGCGCCGTACGATAAATTATTATAAATCTTATTTTCATACTATTATGAAATCTTCACATGACGTACAAAATTAATTACTGGAAAATATAATTAAATTTAAAAAAAAATAATTATCTTGCTTAAAAATTATAACTATATGGCGAATTATTATTTTTTTATTTTTAACCTTAAGGGCAGCTTCTGTATTATACATTTATAATTGCGTTATTTTAAAATTTCTTATTCGCTGCTTTGCTCTTTAGCCAAGAAGAAACCTATCCCAAAGATTGTTTCCTAGTCCGATACAAATGTACAAATGTGCAATCATAGATAATAAAGATTGATTTAGATTCTAAAGATACAATACTCAAATGTAGTAATGTGGTAGTATTATCGCAAAGTTGTAACTATTAATCGTTCTGGTTGAATTTAGATAAGATATATCTACATTCAATTAACCTAAACCATTTTTATGTGGATTATGGTATAAATACTTCTTGGGATCTAGTTCTTAGAAAAATATTTTATTATAGAACTTCCTAAAAACGAAATAAAAATTTTATATTTAAATTTTATTTAAAGTCTGTATTAAAAATCAATCTAAAAAAAAGTATTGAATAAACTGTCTCTAAAAAGTTGTTAATCACTTTTAAATTTAAATTATGGAAATAAACATTTCAGAATTCTTAAATACATTTATAAGAACCATTTTTTTTTCAAATACTTAGATTTTTATATAATTTAAGCACTAGTTTGTTTTACCATTAACTTTTTTTATCAAATAATAATTTTTTTCTTCCCGTAAATTATTAATGATATGACTCTTTTGAAAATTTGGATGCACCTATATTAATCGAAATATTCAAACGAGTAGTTTTTAAATTATTTAGCATTTATTTATTCTGTCGTATCACTCATAATGAGTAACCCTAACTAAACCTACGATCGTTTTACTCTTGCATACTCCAAGTTAATGATTTCAAAATTAATCTGATTTCCGTGTTTGCCTTTATAAGGTACGGTAATAAATATACGCTTATCTGTTTTACGTTTGTATTTGATTTTGTATACTGCAGTGGCCTATGTGAGATTCAGTTTAAGCAAATTCTTTGACTTAAAGTATTTCTTATATTCTGATATTGTTCCGTTTAAAAAATAAAATGTCAAATAATTATAATACAACTCAAACACAGTATTTGGTCGAGAACACTTTTATTGATTTAAAATCAAATCTAAAATAAAACACTTAACCTGTGTTACGAACGTTATTTGTCGCACTACGCTGTTGTCGACTTTTATCATGACAACAGCGAAACTGCCCTGCTTGCATCGCATGTGATATTAAATAACATAAATTTAATGTCACCTCACTTCGCTGGTTTTTATCTATTTTAATTACTTAATTTCTAAAATGTATTTCATATAAAATAAATTTACTTGATACTTATACATATTACATAGTACATATGTATATTAAAATAGTATTGACGACTGTTTAAATTTAAAACAACGGTCCCCAACCGGTAGTCTACAAAAAAAGTTTGAACATTATTAATTGTAATGTTATGTTTATAATTGTAATACGGTAATTACAAAAGTATTATATAATGTCGCTATGTGTTGGATTAGTTTACGAAAAATAAGAATAGACGAGTAACAATATTGTCATTACTCATCATTATCGCATGTTATAAAATAAATAATCTAATTTCGTATAATATTGCAGGTACGCGCGTCGTTATCACAACACGTTCTAAAAAAAACTAATAATTCGAATCCAGTCTACATTTTCTTTTTCTTTTTTTTTTAATCAATAATAATTAAACTAACTTAAATAATTTTGTTATAAATAAAAAAACGCATAAATCATGAGTAAATTAATATTTTAAGCACTTAGCTTAGTGTGAACATGTCTTATAAAATTATTAGTATTAACTGCAATAGAGTTCCATATATTATAGACACGACGCGTACGGATTGTCATATGTATAATGACATAAGTGTCATGAACTAATCCGTTACCATTCAATAATAATTATTGTTTTCTTTTGTCAAAAGTCAATATAATATAATATACATTAACCTGCAAAAGTGCACAAAATCACTAATTTAATTGTAAGTAAGTACTTAATATTAATAATATTTATTCAATAAATTTTTAATAATATTTAGTATTTAACAAATTTAACAATATTATCATTAATTATAATACTATTTATAATTAATAATATTATGCTATATAAAATAACAATATTATACAAATAATTAGACGATCTACCGATTGAAGTAGATAAACAATTTTTCATTAGCGCTTAAATTTTCTAACTAATGATACCTATTATATTTTTATTTTTATTTTATAAAAAAAAGATTTATTTTAAATTTAAAAATATTTTATGCTAATTTCTTTTGGTCTATTATTTTATTATTCTGTTTTTGAAAATGTATAGATTACGTTTTGTTAGACACTATCAGGTTTAATAGTTTTGATTGGATTTTTTTTTTTTAATTACATAACTATCTTAACTAAAAAAAAAATGTGTGCATTTTTTAGTAATGTTACAATTATAACACATAAGATATCATATTTGCATTTCGTTTCAGTAGTGATGACTATAGTGAGGTATTTTTTCTGTAATAATAACACACATTTTATTAAAGTATTAGTGATTTCCAATCACTGACGGGTGAATTTGATGGTTACTGCTGCTGTAACATAAAAAAAAAAATAACATCAACAATATAAAGTGGACACTGTGGAAGTAGCACTCTTGATAAGAGACAAAAGAACTCTCTAACTCTCACACCCACACACACACACACATACTATCGAATAGGAAAATATTGAAAACTTGTATTTTTGAAGAGTATAAAAATTATTTTTATTTTTACAACAAATAAACTATTGTTATCAAATTTTTTTTGTAGAAATACAAGAAACATGTGTGGGTGCGGAAGTAGTAAAGTAGAAAAGGATAGTACTTACGGTGATGGTGAATACAAAAATACTAAACGTCGTCGCCAAAATCATTCCATTGTCCAAAATTATTACGGCTCCAACACCTACTCCACTGGCGAACTCAGTGACCGTGGTAGTTATTATAACAGTGGTTGTCGTGACAGCGGTGGCAATTGCGATTGTTTTGGCAGTGACGGTGGTGGTGATTGCTATGATGGTGACGGTGGTGGTGATTGCTATGGTGGTGACGGTGAAGATAACTGCATATGTGATTGTGGAAGCGGCGGCTGAGTCTAGCTACTATTTTTAAATAATAATAATTTTATGTACACTTACGAATAGATCTATAAACAATATACCAACAAAACTATATAGTATTACTTTATGATGGGTACCTATAAAACTTTTACCATATTATTAGGTAATTCAAATCAATATAATGATGCATGTACGCATAAAAATATTTCAAACGCATTATTATTATGTTAATTTATAGCTTTTATTTTAACCAAAGAGTAAAGAAAAATATAATATAATTTATGATTGCTAACATGCTTGTATACATGTTTCTCAAATCTCCATCTTATACTATTATATATGGACCCAAACATATTGTGTCGAAATTGTTAAAACATTCCTTAATACCACCAGTTAACCCACTTAGATTTTTTACTGTCACTGCGTAATATTGCACGTATAGCTTGTATAGAAAATGTATCATTTTTTATCTAGAAAAAATTGTACTCTTATTTATTACACATTCCATTTAAGACTATAAAAATAATTATTCATAAAAAATTAATTATATTAATTAAATCGGTTAATATTTTAATTTATTAAAATATGTGATATGAGTTTTTTATTTGATTAATTTTATTTTTATATCCTAAACTAACTTGTTAATAAAAATTAGCTAAAAAATGTATTCATAATGTTTATTTGGGTATAGTATAAATATACTTACTTAAACTTAAAAAATATTAATAATAAAACATTTTCATACTCTTATAGTCTTATGTCATATGTTATATGTAATACAATATTATATTAATTTATTAATTATAGTTTTTGGTTTCACAATAGTGATGTTATATAATAGCATACTTTATATACAGATAACTTCAAAAGATTCAGTTATACAATAACTAAATTATTTTTAATCTAACATTAATAAATTGCAAGATTATGCATTAATGTATTTTATAAGAGAATATTTACTTTTATACAAACACCTACATGCTTATTGCATCAGGGCACCAAAGGTCACTAGTCACTACTATACTAAATAGTATTTATACCTAACTAGCCTAAAAATAGTGTCCCTATTAGAATATATCAAAAGATTAGTTATTGTCAATACCTTTGCGTATTTTGATTCTTGTTATATTTATTAAAACATTTAGTAACTATTCTTTATGTAAAATAAAATATTATATAATTATATCCATACATAATTATTTATTTAAGTTATTAATTAATATTACAAACCCGACCTATAACAATAGAGTAAATATTATATTTAACCAAAATAATTAGGAATCAAAACAATAATAAGTTTAATTTTTTAAGTTTTTGAAACTCGAAAATCAAGCCTGAATGCTATACATACTTAGAAATTGTTAAGCAATATTACCGCAATAGATTATAAATATTAAATACCTACTTTTATATATCGTTTTATTTACATTATTGGACAGAAGAAAAATAAAAAAATAAAACCAGAGAAGCTTTGGCATACAAAAATATATCAAAATTATAAATAATTATGTTATGTATTATACATAGATTCGAGGACAATAAACTTGATGGTAATGTTAATTGATTTTAAGTGGCTTGATATTAAACATACAATTTTCTCCGTCCGCTTATTGCATAAAATAAAATTTGAACCATAATACCCTTTGCCATTTTGTATCTAATTAAGCCCTGTGTATAAGCAAGCAGTTTCTCATCAGAATCTGTCAATGTGTACCTCACCATACATTTATTCGATTGCTTTCATTTTGACGACCTTTAGAACTTTATGAGTCAATATTTTTATAAAATTATATATTTGGAACATTTTTTTTTTTTTAAGTCTAAAATGAACGTGGCCATTAACACAATTATCATATCATACAAATGATTCAAATTTAATTAAATAATTAAAAGTTAGCTATACCTGATACAAGTGCTTAATACATGTCTTTCTTATTGTCATTAAAAAATTTTTAAATTAAAAATAAATGTGTACAAATTCGAAATAATAATCTAGTTATTGAATTATCGCGGTATCTAATAATTTATTAACATAATAAATTTTGAATTAAACGAAAGTAGGTTTTGATGATAGAGCTAAAGATAGCTAAAGATGTTCCACATAACTGGTTTAACTTGTTCTGTCATATTGTTAAAAACCTCGAATAAAAAATAAAACCATCTTATTATATTATCGTAATATCAAGGATAAACTGTTAAAAAATTATATCGTGTAAAATCCATCGAAACTAAGAGTATAAAATGTAATAAAAACGAATACATTATTAAGTGTAAGTATTTAGCTGCTTAAGCAAATACTCAACTATAATATTAATGATTAAAAAAAAAAAATAAGTAATCACTAGTCCGTGAATAATATAAATCAACTCTCGTATTTTAAAAATGACAGGCATAGTGCTTCCATAAAAACAGTGAGCTATAATCAAAAATAAGAAAAATTATAATTTAAATAATAATTAAGTATTTTAAGTTTTTTCAATTAAAATGTATCAATAACAATAACAAATTTTCATTTTTGAAAAAGCCCCAATTGATTACCGTAGATAACTGGTTAATTCAAAATTTGCGTTTTTCCTTGTATTGTTTTTCTTTTTATTGTTTTTTGAGAAATATTTACTAAGAAATTTTATCTTTTGTCACCCGAAACTACTCTCAAAATTAAAGATTGAAGCAATTTTACTTAACTTTTAATGGTGTCATTAGATACAGAAAAAAAATAATACATTCATTGATCTTCAGCTCAGAATCTAAAAGTGAGAGGAGAAGGTTTTCTGGTTATACGATTTCCGATCACTTTCAACAATATATATAAGCAAGGTACGTGTACATAATACGTAACTATATATCGCCGCTCTTTAATAAATTATGCCATAAGAAGGTTTATAATATTATAGTGGTCGTCGAGTGCATGCCGCCGGCAAATATATTTTATAACCAATACAATTGACTCGTCTCTATCATTATTTCAAGGCGATTGAAATGTCCGATAAATAGACACGATGTGTAGTCGTACAAATAATGTCTTCTTTACACGACAACGGTAGTATCTACTTCGTGTTATTTTAAATAGATATGTATATAAATATATCATATTAATAATATTATGAATCTATTAAATCTCACACATAATTCGATACTCGGCATTGATGAAAATTAGTATTTAAACATAAAATATGATCTAATGACTCAAAAATCAGTTCATTATTTATTTATTATCTATCAGCACTTTTTGTATTTATATAGTATCGCAGTTTTAATTACGCATACCTACTTAAAATTATAATTTATACTTATTATCACACGTGGCTCGCATTAAAGGTGCACCTATTTTTCGCATAAAAATATATTGTATAATACCTACAACTAATATATATAGTTTAGAAATCATTGTATTATTTTGTAGCCAAATGCTCAAGTTATGCGCATATTTCGCATGGAATATGAATAAGGTAGTTTATATTTATAATATATTAAATTATTATATTATGAATGTGAAAAAAATTCAACTATTAAAATACACAAAAATTGAAAAGTAGCCAATTCCAACAAATATCAGCGATATGCCGCTGCGGTAAGGCACTTGGACGGAATAAATTATTTAATTATTTTTTTTCCTCGAAGAAAGGTTAATGTACGTATAATTGGTTCATCATAACGATTCACCAATGAATTCATGTATCCACTTTTTTGAATGTAAGAAAAGACGATGAATTCACCAATCTTGTGTTCCACAATGCTTATTTAATAACTATTTAATTATGAATTTGAATGTATAAAACGACTTCTTCCCATATTGATTTATTGTAATTTGTAAGCAAATAGATATAATATTCTACCCAAGTATAGTATTGGAGAATATTAAAAAAAAAATAATTATTAAATGGCAATACCCGTGTTGTCATTGTTGTGTATATTTTTGTATTAATTGTATGAATTTGAAACTGATGAAAAATAAACTTAAAATTTAGCTGCAGACATTCAATAAAAGCTCCAATTCCGAGGTTCTAATAAATTGTGACGACACGTCAGTGTGTCATGTGTAGTACCGTGATGTGTGTCATCAAAAAGACTGAGCACCATAATATGGTAGGTATTATATAAGTCATAAGAGACGTTCGCTGTCCATTTACGAGTATCGGAGTATGTTCATAATATTAGACATAGCCAAACAAAATATTGAATCAGCATATATTTAAGTCGATGCAATAATTGCATATGAAAATAATTAATACCTACACATACATGCGCGTACTAAGCAACCGAATAATTTCTATCAGCTATTAAATAATAACACACCTACCGTGGCAGATGTATAATATAATAATCGTAACACCTTTACAAAGATATCGTGGACCGCGTGGGACGTTACTATAATCGAGTTTCAACTTTGGTTTGTACACAAAAAGATCTCTGTATTAGAATATACGATAATAAAACAGCAAAATCAACATAATATCAAAAAATAGATGGATTCTGTTTAGGTACAATGTTTAAGTCCATTTCACTAATTTACTCCAGGAATCAGAGTCTTTATATTATTTTATATTTGAGTATCTCAATTACTCTACTATAGGATCGTTATAAATTATTAAGCTACCTACTTTAGCGGTAGAAGTGAGACGAGTGTGTAATCAGGGCCGCGTTAACCTAAGTGCAAAAGGAGAATTTGCTCCAGGCGGAAAAAGATTTAAAATACCTATTTGAAAAATAAAATGTAATGATGATTTTTTTTATAAATATTTTTTTTTTAGTTGAATACCTAAGAAAATTTTTAAAAATAAGTGTAAATCATTTTAACATTAACTTTGTATTTTTTATTAAAACTCTACTTAATTACCTGATAATTTAAATTGTTTAATTCCTATATTAAGTATTGTATAATACACGTAATTACACGAATCACACATTCACATCTAATGATAGATATTAAGTTTCGAAATTTAAAACTTATTCCTTCACTTAGATATCATATAAAACGTGGTTTTTTAATAAAAAAAAAAAAAATTTTCGGGGCCTTTTGTTGCAAAATTTTCGAAAATCATATAAATAATTACATAAAAAGGTAAAGCCATAATGCATCAAACATTTTAGCTTGTTTCATATTAATTTACAAACACCTTAAACTCTAAAAAAGAAATAATACTAGGTTTTTAACAAAAAAAAAAAAAAATTCAACAGGTGGCTGTGGGC